TGAGTAAATAATATACTAACCAGTTGTAAATTTCCTCCTGACAAAAATCATGTGAGAGAGTTGAGCCAGGGTATTATTAAAAAAAAAACGTTATTATTTTATCTGTAAGTTTGTAACTAACAATTGAACAAGCTAACTGTTACAGGTTTAGTGAGAGACTATAAAAAGACAGACCAAATAAAGAATTTTCCATTGGGAATCTAGATTTCTTGCATGATTTTTAGCTTCGAAAAGTAAAGGCTTGTATAATGCCAATGCTTAAAATCTCTTATACTGCCATTATATCAATGGTCTGGGGTTCATTATAAAAATAAAGGTGCATGTTCAATAAGGTTTGGTCTCAACAGGTAATTGAAAAAAAAATACGTTATTTAACAAACTTTATTTATTAAGCTATCCACCTTGCATCTCTTGTTTACCTAAAATCGGAAAATTTTTCTCATTATCTCTTCCTTAATTTGTAGAAAAAATATTTCACCACCAGGTTAATGAAAAGATCATTCTTTTGTTTCAAATTTATTTTTCGTAAGAAAATGGTCTTTGTACCTTCATCATAATCAAAGAACAGACTTGACTTACGAAAACACTTTCTCCATGATCACGTTCCAAAAATTTTCTAATTGTCGTTTAAGAGAATTGTGAAGGTTGCTCTTCCATTGTTCGAGGATCTGGATGCAGACGTTTCTGTTTTATGACATAATCCATGACTTCAATATAGCCCAATTTATCTTAAAATACTAACTTCTATATCTGGATTTTCGAGTTTGTTTATTGGATAATAGCAAATCTTGTTTGGAGGGTGGTTGTTCGTTAGAAAACAGGTTATTTTTCTTCCTATTAGAAATCAAATATGTCAAGTTCACAGTTAGCGTTAGTCAAATGATAATACAAATGTAACACTTGCTAAAAAAAAGCGACATTATTGGGATTTACAATTACTTTTTTATGTCCTCTTATAGCATTTAATCCTAAGTTTTTATTTTTATAATTTGCCGCACTTGGTGCCTATTGTAAAGTATTGTTTGTTTGGGACGCTCAGATTTCTATTTGAATCCCTTATTTTCATGTGGACATTGCTAGATTCATTATTTACTTTTATTTTTGTTAGTACAGTATATAGTATGGAAATATACTTATGTATTGTACCGTTAAGCTTTGACAATATGCGATGTTACAATGTGTATTGTAACCGAATCTATTTCTATATGGTCATTAATGATATTATTCTTGATTCACAAATTTATCAAGAAGAGCATACATCCGTGCGCAAACTTAAGATACAATTTCATTCCCTAAATGGAATATATATATATACATGCTAATAAATAATCAACTGTACTTATCGAAATCTTTAAGTTTAGCTCAGATTTTGCTGTGGGCAGAATTGTATTTAAAATGTATTATATAAGCAATATTTTTTATATTACGCGTCAAAAATATAAATCGGAGTCTTTTCTGATCACATACACCATCATTGATCTTTTTGACATAAATACATTGAAATTGTTAAAATCTTCTCTTACTTTTTCATTCATAAGTATTATAAAATCTCAAGAATACGTAAAGATAAAATACAAAATTTATTCCTGCAATTTTTTTTTTTTTTTTTTGTTTTTTTTAAAAAAAAATATCAGTATGCCGAAAGCTATAACATCCAGATCTCGCTCTAGTTCACCATCTGAAGTTGTACGTGAGGCCGGTCGAATGCCTATCGCTCGACAAGATATAGACCTTAGCAAGGAGCCTCGTGAAGTAATACACTTGGTAAATGAACTTATTCGTGAATATGGTGATGTTCGAACGACGAAACGGATAGACCATTTATGGAATTCTTCGGTCAATACTAGAGCCAAAACCATCCCACGTCCACAAAATTGTTTTATACTCTTTCGCAACGATATAACCGCCGAGTATAATCCACAAAAAGGTGATCATAATGTTGGTAATAGCGATAAGAAAAGAACCGGGAAAAACGTTCCAAAATCGTCTAAAATCGCAAAAGAAAGATGGGCGGCTATCAAAAGAGACAACCAGCATGAATACCAATTTTGGATAAAATTAACAGAAATTGCGAAATTAAAACACACTTTACTATATCCAAATTATAAATATTCTCCTGTTAGAAATAAAGAACCAAGGAGTAATACTGGTAGAAAACGTAAAAGTTCGAATAACACCAACGAGCAACATATTCAAGATCAAGGATACAAAACACCACCCGCTTCTTCTTTGGTATCTTCAACCATGCCACCTAAAGAAAGACAAAGCTCCCCACCTTATCATTTATCGCCTACGATCATTGAACAACAAATCATCCCCCAACAAAATATACAAAATATTGCTGCCCAAATAACTCCCACTTCTTCTTTGGTATCTTCAACCATGCCACCTAAAGAAAGACGAAGCTCCCCACCTTATTATTTGTCACCTACAATCATGGAACAACAAATAATCCCCCAACAAAATCTTGCTGCCCAAATAACACAGCAATATTTAACCTCAAGTAGTATGATGTCTGCAGGTCAACATCAATATATTCAAACAACTCCACAACAATTTATCAATCCATCTATACTCTTAGCAACTTCTTCGGGACAACAATATCTTCAATATTATCAACCACGAACATCTCAGCACGTAACTTATGCTATAGTGCCACCCTCAACTCCACAGCAGCTACAACAACAAATACCTCAATATATATCACCTGGTGCTATAGTTTCTCCGTCACAACCACATAGTCAACAATCTTCTACTGTAACCCGATATAATCCAATTGATGACTTGTTTATGTTAGGCATCAATGGATTAATCGATCCCGCATTAATTCAAAATGATCCATATCTTTCTAGTTTTAGTAGTTTTGGTAGTTTTAGCAGTGAGGATCCATAATGTTTTTAACTATATATTACCAAATTATTTTTCGTTTTTGGTTTTTAATATTAGTTTTATATAATTTTGTACATATTACGTAGCAATTTTCTATTTATTATCAAAGAATTCATTATCAAAGAATTCTTGGTGTAATAAAACACTTTGGCGAATTCCCTTATTTTTTTCCTATAATGTTGATTTCCTATTAATGTTGATTTCCTATTAATGTTGATTTCTTATTAATGTTGATTTTTATTAATGTTGATTTATTAGTGGATTTGTTTGGTTAGATTTTTTTTTTGTATAATACTTTTTTTTCTTTTTTTTTTTTTTTTTACGTGTAAAATAATAAACTTCGATTTTTCGATTGAAATTCAGTCCTCTATTAGTACGTGATTGAAGTGCATATTATAAAATAATAATAATTTGAGTTTTTGACCATTATCACTATAAAACGAGTCAATTAATGATAGATATAGTGCGAGCAAAAGTTAGCCTTACAGTGACAAGATAACAATTCAAGGCAATACCAAACTAATAACTCAAAGATTAATAGAAAACAAATACATAAGTTCTATACTAAAAGCACGAGAAATCAATACTGAAAGTACTGTGAAAGCACACTTCGGCTTACGTTTAATGTTTATTCGGATTGCTGTTTGGTAGTTAAAGATTTATATGATGATTTGAAATATAAGGATATAAGGTGCTTTATTGAAGGTAAACATATAGACCTTTTTATATATTTCCAACGCGTAGAGTTTTTCAGAAATTAAGTACTTTCCTTTACCATTGATGGGTTTTCTATAACCAATTGGTTACTTAATTAGGCATCGCAACCCTGCGATGTGCTTATACATCGCATCTTAATGGCCGACCAATCAAATTCAAGATTACATGTAATCAGGAAATTTTGAAACAAACGTTCGTTTTGTCAAAAGTTGTTTATAACTTGAAATTTCACATATGAAACTATATTTCACGCTCTAACAAAAAAAAATTTTCTTGCAAAATTTTACTATAAAATCTTCTTTTATATTTTAACCCTATTTAATCCTAATCTTAACTAAACACACCCTAGTTTATTTTGTTTTTATTTGATCTTATGCTGATAAATTATAATTTGTGCGATGTATAAGCACATCGCAGGGTGCGACACATACATTTATTCTACATTAAAAATGTTCTTATATTATACAAACCCAACCCTTTTTTTCTATTAAATACAATGAGTAAAATCATTTTTGTTTTTTTTTATTGTTCGATTCTTAATATACCATTTCTTGTTTAATTATATTTAAGGCCACTCCAAATTGATTTTTTGTTTAACGTAATATTAAATAGTTCATAAGAGTAGAAGAAGGCTGTAAAAAATACACAAATTGAAAAATATACAATTTTATTGGTTATAAAAATATAAATAATAAAAAACTTATATTTTAAAGTATAGTAGTATTAGAGCTTTAACCCAGGTTATGGGTTGAAATTGCTCTAACTCAGATAGGACCCCGGACATATAGTACAGGGATCATATATTATGTATTTTAGCAAAAATACCTGAAATTTAGAAATTAAAAAATTAGTTTTTGCAATTATCTCAGCATCTAGTGGTCCAATTTGGATGAACTTTTTTTAAAATAAAAGCTTTTAGTGAGGCACATCTAACAAAAAAAGTTCATTCAATTCTGATTACTGGATCAAAAGTTATTTAAAAAAATATAATTTTCTAGTTTTTAGCAAATTTAGTCAAATTTGGCCAAAACTCAGTTATAATCTATATCAGAGATGTCCAGATCCTACTCAGATCAAACAGATTAGGATTCAAAATAGGCAAAAATATTATATTGAACAATTTAACTAATATAAAATAATTTACTATATAAATAGTAAATCTATTATTTAGGTTAAATTCTTAACTAATCAGTATAAATCTGAAACTTGGTTTGTTTAACCTGTGTTAAATAGTAATAATATGTATTTGTTCTATTATAATCATATATATATATAGTTTTTTTTTTATGTAAACATTTATTCTAAACAAATACTATATTTTTTTTGCTTATTTAATAATAAATGTATATGTAATTTTTGTTTTAAATAATTATATACTTGATTTTAATAGTTTATTTAAATCTTAGATGATTTCTTATATTTATCCCTATTATATAGTAAGTTATTCTTTAATTTTAAATACAAATATATTGTTAAATTTTAATGAATATATAAATATAATCTATATATGTTTCCTTTTTTTTTTTTTAAATATTAAAATATTTAATTTTAATAATTTATATATACTTATAAGTATTTTATTTTTTTGAATATTCTGTCTGTTTATATCTGACTTAATTCTAGAACTATCTATTAATTTTAATTATCTTCTATTAGATTACTAAATTTAATTGTTTTAAACTATTTAGATATAAATTTTTTTTACTTAACCAAAAATATATGAGATAGTTAAAGTTTTAGAGCTGCTTTAAGAAACAAGATTAATTCAACAAATTTCAAATTAAGGCTTGTTTTGTTTTTGGTAATAGTAAGACCTACAGAAAAAAAAAGTATTTAGATAGCACCAATATAATTGGAATTGAAAAATACTTGTAAACAAGCTTTGCAAATATAGGATAATTAGCTTTTTTTGAAACTTATCACTAAAATATATCTGTATCACTTGAAACTCTTAGTAGTAATAAATAAGAATTAAATTTTTTTTTTTTTTTTTTTTTAACGTCTACCTCTTGGAAGCTGGGATTTTTATTCAAGTATATATAGCAAGGAGTTCTCTAGGGAACCCCTACATTAGAGAGTATATACTAGCCA